GTCTAAACCGGCTGTATACCACCTCTACTTGGAATGTTTCAAAAGCCCCACATCTTGACTTTACTGTTAGCTTATAATAAATAAAAAATATACTTATGAAAAATCTTAATGCATATCTTAACAGTTTCTCCAGAAGCACAGAAACAGAAGACAATTTAAAGGCTGTCATCCTAATTCCCTGTAAGATTCGGAAATGCTGATTTGTAAGACCCTATTTTATATCACAACATTAAAATGTCTAAAGCTGCCATACACAGCAATCCACAGTTTAGTGTAATCTGTAAATCCTGTTTGTGGTTTTTGTAGGATTCTAGATTCATTTCAGATCCTTTGATTCTTTTCAGGTCTGAAAAGGTAGTTGATGTTACAGTCTCTACCGATTTATATGAATTGAGCCCCTGTGAACACAGTGGCATTTATTTCTGAAAATCTTTGCAAACTAAAATGTCAGCATTTTTTAAAAAAAATGATGTAATGCTTTCTACTTGGTTGCTGTTTGTTTGTTTGTTTTGGCATAGTTGTATATTCTACTGGTAGTGCTGTCTTTATCTGCTGCAAACCGCTCCGATCTTTTGAAGTTGGGTGGTGTAGAAATGTAATGAAAAATAAATATCCACAGATGTGTTCAGATAAATCTCCCAGAGATAGATTGCCAATAGTCACATATGTGATTTGCTAAGGAATCCCTTTTGTGTTCCTCTGAGAAAACCAAATTGACAAGGATTGATCTGAATCATTATGTCTATTGAGAAGGACCAAATCATGCCAATGTTTAGGCACCAAAGCGTTTTTGGTGCGTGCAAAAAAAGGCTTTCAAATGAGCAGATGAAAATCATTGGTTTGTTTAAGAGCATTCAATCATGGGGATTAGGAACTGAAAGACACAAAGCAAATTACTCTGTCATTTATTTATGTAGAGCAGTGTTTATGCAAAGTGCTACAAGTCCTTTAACTAAATTTCCAGGAAGTTAACATTTTCAGTTTCTTTTTTCTTCTGGCTGGATCATGACAAGCAGAAAATCAATGGGTGACATTTTCACCAGCAAATGAAAAGCTGCTGTTCCGTATTGTGTATATCGGTTCATTGGAAACTGGCTGGTTACTTTGAGTTGGTCAATTTTACAGTTCAAACACAGAGATGCCTGTAGGAGTGTCAAAAGTCAACATGTTTGCTATTGCACATTCAATACAAGTAGAAAAAGGGAGAAAGGTCTTTGACTATATGGTTCTAGATGCCATATTGCCTTTCTTGACCTTTCCTGCAGATGCTTCTTTCATTATTAAAGTTCCATGCAATCATTTCCCAAAGGTGGTTTTTGAAGAGGGAATGGGACTTCCTGTTTTTTTCTTTGAAGATGTTTCACACCTCATCCATGAAGCTCTGAATAGCTGAATAAGCTTCTTAGATGAGAAGCGAAATGTCTTCAAAGAAAAAACGAACAGTGCAGTTCAGTGGTGGAATCCAAATTTTTTTACTACTGGTTATGGGGACATGGCTTGGTGGGCATGGCGTGGCTTGGTGGGCATGGCATGGTGGGCGTGGCAGGGAAAGGATACTGCAAAATCTCCATTCTCACCCCACTCCAGGGTAAGGATACTGCAAAATCCCCATTACCTCCCCACTCCTGGGGGAAGGATATTGCAAAATCTCCATTCCCACCCCACTCTGGAGCCAGCCAGAGATGGTATTTGCCGGTTCTCCAAACTACTCAAAATTTCTGCTACCAGTTCTCCAAACTCAGGGCCGGATTTTCCTATAGGCTAACTAGGCTTCAGCCTAGGGCCTCAAGATCAAGAGGGGCCTCAAGATCAAGAGGGGCCTACATTCAAATTGTTAGCAAAATTAAAATTACACTTTCACTATAGGTGAAAGGGCCTCATAAGTGGAATAGCCTAGGGCCTCTTTTCATCTAAATCCGGCCCTGTCCAAACTGCTCAAAATGTCTGCTACCGGTTCTCTAGAACCTGTCAGAACCTGCTGGATTTCATCCCTGGTGCACTTGCCTCTTGAAAAAGCACCTTTGGGACAACCATGACCTAGATGACTGAGAATCTCCATAGACATTTTCATGCAATCAATCAAAATATTCCACAAATTTAAAATTGGCAGGGCCATCATCATGTTTTTTGTAACCCCTTACATGAATACTCCTAAGATCTCTAGAGAGATGTATATACAATAAAAAATATGACATAGATATTCAACTTCTGCTCATTTCTTAACTAAATAAGCACAAGATATTCACCAATCGTGTTTTCTTCGAAATATATTTGAAGTGCATCATGAAAGCATATTCTCTTTCAAACCAAAGAGGGGGGAAAAATAGAAGACAATCTTTTTTTCTGCAAAGTGCTAATTTAAACTCATTTGATATGTACGATAGAACTCTACCTGTTTATACATATAATTCTATCTTACTTAAACAGTAATTTCATTCCACTTCAGCATCCCCAGTCCTGTATTTTGTACAGTGTACCTTTCCTTCATTTATGGAAAAGCCATGTGTCGCTTAGAATGGATTGTTGGCTTATTTATTTATTTTATTTTTATTTTATTAAATTTCTATACCGCCCTTCTCCCGAAGGACTCAGGGTGGTGAACAGCCAAAAGATAAAACACAGAGATACAAAATTTAAAATAGATTAAAACAGATTAAACAATTTGGCTAAATTTTAAAAATATCCCATAATTAAACAAATTAAAATTAGTGTTTAAAATTTAAATTTAAAAAATTTTTAAAGGGAGAAGATTTAGGCCAGGCCAGCTTGATGAAATAAAAACGTTTTAAGCACGCGACAGAAGGTGCGCAGATCCGGGATCCTCCGTATCTCCGGGGGGAGCTCATTCCAGATCGTAGGCTTAGCTAAAGAGTTAAACGATGAATAACATGGCCAGGCACACATTTGGATTAACCAGGTAGTTTACCTTAATAAGTAATTCAAGTACTTATTTTGTCTTTGAAAATTGGATGTGATTGATTTTGAAAACCCTGAGTAAAAGGCTGATCCACAAGAGACGAAGATCCCTTTATAACTGGCTTCTGAAAATACGAACATTGATAAAACATTAAATCTGAACTCCAAGGGGGTTGCGGGAAAAGGATTGATAATCTCTGAAATGGATCCTGTACATTTTCCCACACTGACCTTTGAAATTAATAAAATCTGTTCCATGATGTTTTGTTGGAAGTAGCTTTTTGAAGGCAATCAAAGAGGTACTTTTGTTTCAAATTTTGGATAGGATTAGCTACTCAAAATCAGTTTGGATGCTAAAAATAGCTTCTGTTCATGTGCCTTTCAATCATGTTGAAGTGCCTGCTTTTCCACTTCAGTTTGAGGCATCGAGATTGAATGACTCAGCGTTCTGAGTTAAGGCACCATCTTGAATTTAGATTGCCAGAAGCTTCCATTTATTTATTTTATTTATTGAACAAATTTATATAAGCTTATAAGTGCTATGGGCTTAGAGTTCAAAGCATTGTTAGAGACCCACACACTCACTTTATGGTCTGTTTCTGTTGCTCCCCTCTGGGGGGGAAGTTTCAAAGTATTTCAAAGAGCCAAGGTGGCGCAGTGGTTAGAGTGCAGTACTGTAGCTACTTCAGCTGACTGCTAGTTCAGCAGATCAGCGGATCAAATCTCACTGGCTCAAGGTTGGTTCAGCCTTCCATCCTTCCGAGGTGGGTAAAATGAGGACCGAGATTGTTGGGGGCAATATGCTATTTAGTATACTGCCTTTGGTGTAAGCCGCCCAGAGTCCTCCGAGGGTGGGCGGCATAGAAATATGACAAATAAATAAATAAATAAATAAATAAATAAATAAATAAATAAATAAATAAATAAATAAATTTTTATCGGGACTTCCAGATTCTGTAACAGCTTTGTTCCTTATGCCATCCATCTGGGTAAACTTTCAAGATTCATTTTTTTTTCCTCACCATGTACATGTATACATCCGAACTAGACTGTGTTGTTTCTCTGTGTCATATAATATATGTGGGTATATGCATAATTTCGTATTTCTTTCTCTTTTCTTTCTTTCTTTTTCTCTTTTTTTCTTTCTTTCTTTCTTTCTTTCTTTCTTTCTTTCTCTCATCATGTTTATGTAGTGTATTTATATACTACATTATTCAGTGGCTCAGTGGCTAAGACGCTGGGCTTGTTGATTGAAAGATCAGCAGTTCAGCAGTTCAAATCCCTAGTGCCGTGTAACAGGGTGAGCTCCCATTACTTGTCCCAGCTTCTGCCGACCTAGCAGTTTGAAAGCATATAAAAAATGCAAATAGAAAAATAGGGACCACCTTTGGTGGGAAGGTAACAGCGTTCCATGCACTTTTGGTGTTTAGTCATGCCGGCCACATGACCACGGAGACATCATCGGACTACGCTGGCTCTTTGGCTTTGAAACGGAGATGAGCACCGCCCCCTAGAGTCGGGAACAACTAGCGCATATGTGCAAGGGGAACCTTTACCTTTTAATGTAGTGTATATTGGAGGTGGTGACACTTTGAGAGCTACATGCAATGAAATTTCATTTTAATGTATGCCAATTAATATATTTTCAAAGTGACAATAAAGTTATTCTTAATCAAAGTCTAGGTATATAGCCATTCAGCTCAAATATAGGTTACTATGGGTGGCACATTACAGCAATGACTCAAATGGTGGGGCTACAAAGTGTATCTCTGGGTATGGGTGTGATGCTACTAGAATATACTGAGTATACCCACTGGGTATGGGTGTGATGCTACTAGATGTACTACATCTTGGCATGTATAGGTAGCTTACTTACTGATAAAACTTGATCTAACGGACCTTCTGAGTATTTGACAGCTCTAAGATACATGTATATTTATATCGTTTGATGGTTAGGAAGAGAATGAATTGTTTCTGAAGTAGATCACAAAAATTTCAAAAAAATTATACTGAACAATTCATAGCTCCGAGCAAGAATTTTCACTAGTAATCTCTGAAGGAAATGTTCCTTTTTGTCTTCATAGAGGGTGTCGATTATGGGCCGATGTTTATTCAAGAACCTGACCATGTGATCTTCCCCATGGATTCAGAGGAGAAGAAAGTGTCTCTCGGTTGTCAAGCCAGAGGAAATCCTGCCCCAACCTACAGGTAGCTAACATGTTTTAGCAATGGAGCTGAGTTGCCTATTTTGATTCCAAGTCAGTGTACAGTAGTCCTTGACTTACAACCTTTCATTTAGTGGCCATTTGAAGTTACAATGGCATTGAAAAACAATTAACCTATGACCATTTTTCACACTTACGGTCCTTGAAGCATCCCCGTGGTCATGCAATCAAAATTCAGACATATGGCAACTCTCTTGTGTTTATGATGTTGCCGTATCCCAGGATCATGGGATCACCTTTTGCAACGTTCTGACAAGCAAAGTTCACGGGGAAGCCAAATTCCACTTTACAACTGCGTTACTAACTTAACAACTGTAGTGATTTGCTCAACAATTGTGGCAAGAAAGGTCATAAAATGGGGCAAAGCTCACTTAACAACTGTCTTGCTTAGGAATTGAAATTTGGGCTCAGCGGTGGTCATAAGTCGAGTAATTCTGTAATTCTGTTTTTAGCTAAAATCTATTCCATTGTTATTTTAAAAGATTCAGTTATAAAATTATCTTAATCTATTCATTTATGTACCTGTTCTTTTTTTTCTAAACATATTCATTTTGCAAACTGAAGCCATTGTCAATGTACCGTGTTTCCCCGAAAATAAGACCCTGCCTTATATTTTTTTGAACCTCGAAATAGGCTCTTGGCCTTATTTTTGGGGAGGTCTTATTATTTTGGGGCACATGGAGGAAACCAGAGGAAATGGTGGGGACTGGCTGAGCATGCATTTAAATATTTTTAGGGAGGGCTTATTTTCAGGGGCGGCTTATTTTAGCGCATGCGCTCAAAAGCCCAATTGGGCTTATTATCAGGGGACGTCTTATTTTCAGGGAAACAGGATATATGTATCCTTGCACAAAGCACTGTTTTCCCTAGCGTACACTTTTGTGCAAACTTTCCCCAATGGTGCTAATTTTTGTCTGCATTGTTAAGAATGTTACTCCAATTTGAATATTGGTTCAGACTATGAAAATTGGATCAGTTCTTATTCATTGCAAAATCAGCTACCTAACTTGCTTAATGGGTCCTTTATTCCTGCTTCCACTAATTATTATCACCCGTTTGATGATGAAGCTTCCAAATCTGCTATATATATGTTTTTAAAATTTCATTTATTTGTCTGATAGAAAGACTTGAATTAAGGACCATCTATGTAAAATGTAGCGCATTTTATATATATTTTTTAACTGCAGGTTAATAATATGAAGGGACATGGTGGCTCAGTAGTTAAGACACTGAATTTGTTGATCAGAAAGGTTGGCAGTTCAGCGGTTTGAATCCCTAGTGCCGCTTAACGGGGTGAGCTCCTGTTACTTGTCCCAGCTTCTGCCAACCTAGCAGTTTGAAAGCACGTAAAAAATGCAAGTAGAAAAATAGGGACCAACTTTGGTGGGAAGGTAACAGCATTCCGTGCTCCTTTGGCATTTAGTCATGCCGGCCACATGACCACGGAGATGTCTTCGGACAGCATTGGCTCTTTGGCTTTGAAACGGAGATGAGCACTGCCCCCTATAGTCAGAAACGACTAGCACATATATGCAAGGGGAACCTTTACCTTTACCTTAATAATATGAAATTCACCTTCATCGTTTGTTGTGGAAGAAGGATTATTTTTTTTAGATCTGGAGTATTATATCTCAGATAAATAATTTGAAGGGTAATCAATTCATAGATCTGCTGTTCAAGTTTTGACCTTTATTTGTTAATTTGTTTTGTTTCTATATTGCCTTACTCCCTTAGGACTCCTGGCAGTTTACAAGACACAGTAACGCAATAAAAGCATTCAATAAAACAATATAGCAATTTTAAATTATATTATTAAAAATTCCTGAATTATTATTTTCACCTTTAAAAGTTGTTCCACACAAGTCTGTTTTTAAGACTTCTTAAATCCCATGAAGAGAGAAGAAATGATACAAATCTCTTACAGAAAATTATTGCAGAGAGTAGTGCTATAACTAAAAAGGAACTTATTTCTAACTCTTCCCTGAAGCTAACATAGCAGGAAAATGTCAATAACCCTACATATGATTTATTATTTATTTATTTAAACATTTATGTTGCCACCCCTCTTTTAGCCAATCCTTTACAGTACCTAATGATGTACATACTGGACAGGCAGTTCTCCCTCACATAGATGATACTCCAGGCATCTGGGTCTCCAGCCATATAGAGTTTTCTAGTAAAATATACCACATTTTCAATTTTCAAGCTTTTGTGTGCAAGGGTTGGTGTTGTTGTTGTTGTTGTTTTGCACAGGTTTTATGTGCAAAAAGCAGTTCTCATCCACCAGTAAGTGGACTTTTGTAGTTTGTGCTAACTGTAGCTTCAACAGCAGTTCTGTGTAAAGAATATTGCAACCATTTGTACAAGAGTTGATAGGGTTGCAGGTAACCTCTTTCTCTGAGTAAGGTTGTGATTGGTGTATCAGCTAGAGCTGAGCAAAACCTCCATTACCGAGAGACTCAAAGTAGACAAGAGGCTAATAGACATTACCCATAGACTCATTACCCATTACTCATTACATTACTCATAGACACTACCCATAGACTCAAAGTAGACATGAGGCTAAGTACATCCCTAGGTTGCAGTCCTGCTCCTTTAAGGAGATTGCTATCCCACCCTGAGTCACCACTGGAGCAGAAAAATCAAGTCCTTTCTGGACTTTCCAACAATGTAGGCTTGCTAGGATTCAATTTCAGGTTTTCTATCAATTTCTTCAATTTTCAGGTATCTGGCCAAGATTTCCACTGTGTTACTGGCTTGGTTTATGTTGAGTTTATTTTTTATTTATTTTAGAGATTTATATTGTCACCTATTCACATATAACGACTCAAAGCGGCTTACAAAAACATAAAAACATCATATAAAAAAAAACAATAAAACTAATAAAAGAATCATTTATAATAAAATAATAAAATAAAATAGCTCAGTTGGTCTTCTAGGTAGACTTTTATGAATATTACATTTCAGTATATAATTTACATTACAGATTATTGAACATCTGCCTTGTGCTAAAAGCATTGTATACAAAGTATAATCAATATGTGGATGTTTAAAAATGATCCAGCAGATGTCATTTACCTTCCTAATTTATTCCTAGATTAATCCTGGATCATCCCTTGAACATTCTCAATAATTTTACCAATTAACATTCTGCATTTGGCACAATTTTCTGTAATTGCAAGAGCCATACAAAGTTTGGCATGCTACGGTGAGAGCTGGCCTCCAAAAACATGAAATGCCAGAATCCAAGGTATAAAATTAGTGCTTTAAACTTGTGGAAGATTTAATATGTCAAATTCTAGGGATGTGCATTTGTAGAAGAAAGAACCTGGGGGTGGTGTGAAAAGGGGGATCAGCCTAGAATCCCTACATAGCTATAAGAAAAGTAAGTCCAACACCCCCTCCCTTGATTGTCATTGATCGTCATCAAACTCCAAGCTTGTGCCAATCGTTAGTTGAGAAGATTCCTGGGCATAGAGTTTTAGCAATAAATCAGCATTTATAATAAATCAGATGGTCTTTCACAACTGACAGAAATGATTCAGAAATGATTTGGAAGATGTCCTTCAGAAGTTACATGATTGCAATCACAACACCTTCCTATTATTCACTTAAGTGAATATTATGCACTTTTCGGGCATTGTACACAAAAAGTACAAGTGGGCATATAAATGTAATAAATAGATAGAAAAACAGCTACCACTGCTTCAAATTTGCATTACCAATAATGAAAGAATGCTAAGGAATTCCAAAGAGGAATGAAATCGGTAAATAGGATTGCCAAATAAATAATAAACAAATGGAGCTGCAAGAGGCAGGACAAATTGCAATTATGGTACATAATTATGGCACCAGAGACAAGTGATTAAATTTCTTTTGATATTTTCCCAGTTTAATTAATCAACAAATTCTGAGAGCCAGATAGAGAAACAAATACCTATATGTGGTTTCTGAACATAGGATGGATAAGGAACGAAGAAAGAATATCAGACTTAAGATAAAACTACGTAGGGTGACCAAATGTACAAAAGAATGGTTGAATGCATAATCATGCTAAAGTTTCATACTTTTCACAACATTACACACAGTTTGCATCTCAGAAATATGGACACCTGAATATTTTGCATAGGAATGTTATGCAAATTTATCAACTGAAAGCCAAATAAAAGTGAACCCATTAATTGCATCAAATTATTTCAGCTGTCCATATTTTCTTGTTTATTTATTTATTTATTTATTTATTTATTTATTTATTTATTTTATTTTATTTTATTTTATTTTATTTCTATACCGCCCTTCTCCTGAAGGACTCAGGGCAGTGTACAGCCTAATTAAAAGCACAAAGACAGACAATTTAAAAATAATTAAAATTATTAAATAATTGGCTCAGTTATAAAACCCCCAAATTTAAAATCCCATATTTAAAACCAATTAAAATCTTTACATTGATAGCTTGGCCTGGCGGAACAAAAGGTTTCGAGGGCACAGCGAAATACACGGAGATCAGAGATCTTACGAATTTCTGGAGGCAGTTCATTCCAAAGGGCAGGGGCTCCCACAGAGAAGGCCCTCCCCCTGGGTGTTGCCAGCTGACATAATTTGGCCGATGGCACCCTGAGGAGACCCTCTCTGTGGGAGCGGACTGGCTGGTGGGAGGCTACTGGTGGCAGAAGACGGTCTCGAAGGTATCCAGGTCCAATGCCATGGAGCGCTTTAAAGGTGGTAACCAACACCTTGAATCGCACCCGGAAGACCACTGGGAGCCAGTGCAGCTCGTGCAGGAGGGGTGTTACGTGGGCACAACGAGTTGCGCCCATAACCACCCACGCAGTAGTTAAGAATAAATCTTGAAATTTATTCTTCTTCTTGTGCCATATCCATCATATTTTTGTCAATAGCCACATGAAAAAGTTTTTTGTCCAAACCAGTTTTGAAGCCATGATGTCCTTCTTCTGCCTGGACCTCATTTGCCTTCAACCTTTCCCTGGAGGATTAAGTGAAGGATGCCATATTTTTCTGGGTGTCACATCACATGTCCAAAATATTCTAACTTGTGCTTTTCAAGGGCTTTGATGATTTCCCTTGGCTTTCCCAGGTGGCTTATCACCACTTCATTTCTGATTTTGTCAACCCAGCTTATACGTAACAGCCGTCTGTTAACTTATTAAACTATTTATTTTTCTTTCCTTCCAAGGTGGCTCCAGAATGGAACTGAATTAGACATAGAAAGTGATTACCGCTACAGTGTAATAGAAGGAAGCCTTATTATCAACAATCCCAGTGAATTAAAAGATGCTGGACAGTACCAGTGTTTTACCACCAATGTCTATGGTAGCATTTTGAGCAGGGAAGCATCACTTCAATTTGCATGTAAGTAACAATTTTGTTATCCCACTTTTTAGAGCTAACAATGTCACATTGAAACAATGCGGAAAAAAACTCTAATTGCATCATGAAGAACCAGACAATTATATTCATATCTACGAATATAGGAATTGTATTTTTCTTTTCTTTTCTTTTTTCTTTTGGATTTTGGATTTTGCACTTTTGGACATTCAACATTTTGTATTTTGTATAACTGGCTCATATTTCTGATGGTTGCAATGTCCTGGGATCATGTGATCAGTTTTTGTGACCTTCTGACAAGCAAAGTCAATGGGGACTTACTTACTAACTTAGCTGCAGTGATTCACTTAACAACTGTGGCAAGAAAGGTTTTAATGGCAAAACTCACTTAACAACGGTCTTGCTTAGCAATTGAAACTTCAAGCTGAATTGTGATAGTGCGTAGAGAAGTACCTTGTATTTCATTATTTTAGTGCAGAGTACTTTTGTCTGTATGTTTTCCATATAAGCCACCTCTCCATTGGTCTAGCCCAGGGGTCGGCAACCTTAAACACTCAAAGAGCCACAAAGGTCCTAACCAGAAGCCCCCATTCAATTTTGGAGCCGACCGGAAGTCCGGTTCCCCTCCTCCTAGCACGGCATCTTTTTCCCTCTGCTGACCAGAAGTCTGGTTCCCCCACCATAGAGTCTCGGTGTCCTTTTTCCTCTACCTGTCCTAACCGAAAGCCCTATCAATTGTGGAGCTGACCAGCAACAGGGAGCGACAGCAGAGGGATGAAAGAGCCACATGCGGCTCCAGAGCTGTGGGTTGCTGACTCCTGATCTGGGGCTCTGATCTGAAAAAGCCCCAAGAAGTGTATGATGTTTTCCTAGGATTTAACTGACCTTCCCCTGAACATTTTCCCTCAACTCTGTTAAAGTATGAAAAGCTAGAGAGGCAAAAGACAGATGCAAATGATGAAAGAGAAACATAAACATCCCTCAGCTTCTCCCTAATTAATGAAGTTCTAAACTCCTAAATCTGCTCACAAGAATTTAACTAATTGTTTATTTTGCCCCTTTGGGCGAAAAATGAAAACAAATTATGTTCCATCAAGGGAATGTGAATGTGAACCAAAAACAGAGAATACATTTTGAGCTATATTCATCCGATCTGCTGAAGTGAGGAGTTCAAGCAATATTGGGTAACCAAACCAGACAAAAGAGTTAAAGACACAAAGTTGACATCAGGACTGAAAACAAGGACAAAGAAATCATCCCCACCTTATTTTTATTTTCCTGGATGACAAATCCCAAGGTTGATGATTTTGAAGAAAGAATTTACTGTACACCAGCATTACAGAACAAGAGACTGCCAAACTGACACAAGTCAAAAGGTTTTTAGGCTTATCTCAACAAGACTTATAGAGGACAATGGGTTAATACAATTGGAATTGCTAATTGATGAGATACCTCCTCAGTCCATCTGCCTCACCAGTAACTTGTATTTACATAATAGCATTCCCCCCCCATCAAACCCACCTCATCCCAATTTAAATTTTACATCAGTTCAGCCACTGCATGAAGCCGACAAAGTGAGCTATACTTTATAAAACCTTATGCCTTTTAATAAAATTTTTAGTGGCTTTAAATAAAATTTAAATGAAAAGATGAGGCCAGATTCTTTTTGATCCTGCTTGTCCTTGTGGGGAACAATTTTTTATAAAAAAAATTTATAACAATTTTTTTTATAAAAACAATTTTTCTCATAAATATTTTCTATTTATGAGAAAATAGATTTTTACATCAAAACCTTGGTACTAGGATGCCGACAATGAACTTTCTTGCTAACGATTTAGCAAGCACATTCAATTACAACTGATCCCTTTATAATTTGGATAAATCCAACAATCCTGATGGAGTATTGTGTGTATGTATGTATGTATTCCTATAAAACAGGGGTGTCAAACACAAGGCCCACAGGCTGGATCCGGCTTAGATCTGGCCCACAGGGCTGCCCTGGAAACAGCAAAGGACCGGCCCGGGGTGCCTCTGCCAGTGTAAATGGACCTTGGGGGGGCACACACCCCCAGGGCGCCATTTTCAGCCACAATGGCCTCCTGCAGCCCTCTGCCAGTGAAAATGGAGCTCAAGGGGACTGCGCACAGCCCACCAAGCTCTGTTTTCGCTTGCAGTGGGCTGCAGGAGGCCGTCCTTTTCAAAGAAGAAAAGGAAGGAAGGAAGGAAGGAAGGAAGGAAGGAAGGAAGGAAGGAAGGAAGGAAGGAAGGAAGGAAGGAAAAAAGGAAGGAAGGAAGGGTTGACAGAAGGAAGAAAGATTATAATGAGAGTGATGAGGGGGTTCTGAGGGAAGTCCTGCCTTAGCACTTCACCACAACAGGTGCCCCTGACATGAGTGACATCAATCTGGCCATGTCCACCCTGGCCACACACATCCTGCCCCCTGAGGTCAAACACAACTCTGATGCAGCCCTCAATGAAACCGAGTTTGACATCCCAGTTATAAAACAATGGGTTTTGTTGTACTCTTCTGTTTTAATTAATATGTTGATTCATTCATTGATTCATTATACATTATAATGGCATTGTTGATTCTTAGTGACCAGATAAATAGATTTTCTCATGATGGTCTTTTCTTAACCTGGTCTTTCAGGGTTGAATTCAACACCAACCAGAATTCGCTATAATAAAAAATAAAATAAATTGAATTAATCCACACTGTTATTAGTTCTTCCTTTCTCTTCCTTCCACCTTTCCCAGAATTAGAATCTTCTATAGGGCAGCAAATACCTCACAATTATTTTATTCAAGCCAAGCATTTGCCTTTCTTCTCTTGAACCAGAAGACATGTGGAACAACTTCATTGCATCTCTAAAGTCCCTCCCCAAAATGAGAAATGCCCTCTCAAGATGTAATAATTTGAGCTTATTGCCATGCTGACAAGGCATTTGAATTGATAATGTGACATCTCTGACTTCCCTCACAGCCCGCTGAGTGAAGAACCTGGAAACTGCAAACCATCGATCAAAAGTTTAATTCTTGCAAATTTGTATCAGATGCAAAATGAATTTAGAGCAAGAATCCCATGCTGTTCTCAGCTTTTATCTCAATATTGCCACACAATTGAATTGATAGGGTACATTTAAATACTCAGTGTGATGCTTTCTAGTGGATTTGGATGATTCGGGTAGTAATCTAAAATGTATTTTTTTTTCTGAGATAGAGGAATCCAAAGGACATACGATGCCAGCAGCAAGAATTCATATTAGAGGCTAGAAAAACCTTCATCCTCACCAATAAAGGCCAATTTTCCATACTGAAAAATGCATGGGGGAATTGGGCAACAACCTTGCTGGAAGGGTAGAGGCTTTGAATGGTTCAAACTTTCTACACCCTCAACCAAATACCCAAATTGGAGGGAGGAAGAGAATATGACAGAGGTGGTATTCAGCAGATTCTGACCAGTTCTGGAGAACCAGTAACAGAAATTTTGAGAAGTTCAGAGAACTGGCAAATACCATCTCTGACTGGCCCCGCCCCCATCTATTTGCTGCCTCCTGAGTCCCAGCCTCCTGATTGGCTGGGTCTTCTTTTGTTGCTCTGCACATGGAGCTGGAAAGCAAGTTAATGGGGTGGGGAGGGAATGGAGAGATTTTGCAGTAACCTTCCCCCTGGAGTGAGGTGGGAATGGAGATTTTACAGTATCCTTTCCCTGGAGTGAGGTGGGAATGCCCACCCAGCCACGCAACGCCCACCAAGCCACACCCACAGAACCGGTAGTAAAAAAAATTTGAATCCCACCACTGGAATAGGCCAAGTGCCTGCCATATTACTTTTTTTATCAGGTCCTCTTTAAAAAAACCCAGTGATGATGATAATGTTATAAATCCATTGTTGTCCAACTCGTGGTGATTCTACGGGCCAGGTCTCTCCACATCTTCCAATCTTGCACTACTTCTTTGAGTTGTTCTATGCTATGGATGGTGTCAGCTTTGACAGTATCCAGCCACTTTGTTCTTTAATGGCCTGGTTTCCTTTTTACCGCTAATCTCTTCCGAACATAATTGCTTTCTCCAGTGAATTCACCTGCATGACATGACCAAAATAAGTGAGATGCACTTTTCTGTTTTTTGCCTTCCATTGACATGTTTAGTGTTAAAAAAAAGAGTAACAAATAAGAAACTAAGAAGCTGCGTATCACCCATCCTCAGCATTATTCTCCATTTTCAGTATGCCTGTTAACCTCAAATCTGTTCAGTGCACATGCACAATGCAGACGACTTCAGCTTAGTGTTCTTTTTGGAAGGATGTCCAGTTGTCAAAAAGACAAACATACTTGAAAGGATTAGAGGGTAACTTGAAATAACTTTATTCATTTGAATGTGACCTTTTCCCGTGGCTGCTGCTTTATGAGCACAGATCCTAGAGCTGTGATGGCGAACCTATGGCACGCGTGCCACAGGTGGCATGTGGAGCCATATTGGTGGGCATGCGAGTGTTCCCCTATCTCAGCTCCGCCAGCTGATTTTCAGACCTTCCGAGGCTTTCTAGATCTCACTGGAAATCAGCAAACAGACTGTTTCTGGCCTCCAGAGGGCCTCCCAGGGGGGTGGGGAAAGCCTCTGGAGCCTGGGGAGGGCAAAAAAATGGGCCTCCTGTGCTCACCGTGCCATCACGTGCCAAAAGCGGGGGGAGCTCGGTGGGGTCATGTGGGCATGCACAGGGGGATGGGGCACATTGAATTATGGGTGTGGGCACGTGCGCGTGTGACCCCCCCCCACTCCCCCAACTTTTGGCACGCGACAGCAAAAAGGTTAGCCATCACTGTCCTAGAGTGTAGTCTACTCTCTGTATTCCAGATCCCATCTGTTTTAGGTGTGCAAATAGATTTTTTTTTCTTGCTTAGAGACAGCTGGACTAAGCATGAAGCAGCCTGCAAGAACCTAAGTGTATTTAAGTGACACTAATAGCAGAAGGTGAGAAAATATCCAAAATGCTCAGGACACGGATGCTATGGTTTTAAAAT